ATTTGGTTTCTGATTTACAGTGCGTTATAGAATGGAGGCCGTTATAGAGGGGCCGTTATAGAGAGAGTGAACTGTATGGTGTAATTATTTGAAATAACCAATAAAAAAAATTTTTTTAAAAATAAGCCAATTAATTGCTACATAATTAGATATGGAGCATGCTGCAACAAAACCAGACAAAGTGAACATTGGTATTACCAAGGGTTTCAGGGATCAAAATTTAGTCATTTGTAATGTGATTATAATTGTCAGTTTTATAATATCCCATTTGTTATCTTAAGTGATATATTCATATAAAAATAATAATATTAATAAGATTTTAAAAATAAATTTTAAATACCATTATAAACACAATGGTAGTGTGATGATGGCAATGGTGACAAATAATGTGTTATTGTTGCTGATTATGATGATGCTTATGATGTGATTCAATGTTTCTTAGCCTCATTAACCTGCTGTGTCATAAAAAAAACCAAATGATTGAGAAATGAAGTTAACAAGAAAAAGAAGAACGGTGATGATAAATGAAGTGAAAAAGACACTAATGTTAATAACAATGATATTTCATGGATACTCCCGTGAAATAACTATTGCTTATACTTTAATCACCACACATGTACCAAGTCTTTTAATGTAATTTATGATATTGAAAAATAATCTTGCTTCAAAATATGATCATTTTGAATGGAATAATCATTGAGAACATAGATAAAATACTTTTATTTGTATATATTATTATGTAAAATGATAATGATCAAACAATACATTTAATCTCAACTAATTATTAATCTTTATTTTGACTGTCGTGCTTATTATATGCCATTTCTTGGTGACCTATTTTCAGCAATCCATGGTTCTTTACTTGAATCATTAAATTTTTCTTCTCTAGCTATCTCAATGCAGCAGGGTTGGCAAATGTGCAGTCCATTGATGGTCTATTGGTGGTCCATTGGGTCCATTAATGTAACACTTTGACCATATTTAGTATTTTATTAATTGCAATGGACCAGTCCAAATCCATCTGTTCTCAATGGACCAGTCAATTTGCCAACCCTGCAATGCAGCATTTATAAATATTAACTGTTTCTTTAAGGATATTCTATTTATGTCAAATTGAAGTAAATTAGATAAATAAATACAAATGAGAATCAATTTTCTGTACTTACATTGACATTTAAAATAACACTGCAACATTTGAGAGCTTGGTGGATTTCACTGATCATCAGTGGAATGTCAAAATAATCTATATCTGAAACACCATACCACTTTGAATCAAGTGCTGATAGCACAATTACATGATATCTCCATGATGAGTAGATAATTGCTGGAAGTGTAATCAGTAATCCAGCTTCATCAATTTCTTTTGATTTACCTCTAGGAGGAAGGGTTCTGTCAATGACTTGGAGCATATCACGAAGATTTTTCTTGGATTTTACAAAGTTTGATGACACCTTAGTTTTATTTCCAATTTTGGTGCCAGTGTTCTCAGACAAACCTAATTCATGGCCCCAATAGGATTATTTTCCAAGATCATGAACCTTAGTGGAATAATAAAATTTATCAACACTAAATAACATATAACAACAGAACCACAGTAAATTATTAAGCAAGACATAAGTAACTTACCGAAAAAAGCCAATCAAGCTTACTACCCTCATCTTTACTAGTCCCATTTAATGCATTTTGTCTTTGTTCACATGATGCTTGGCCACACATTTCTCCACTACAATCAATTAGTATAATAATAATTAATGAAAGCCATCAATTTCTTCTGATTTTACATACATAAAAAAGTATATTTACAAATGAAGATCCACTCCATTGGTTAAAATTTCAAATAAGGTTCTGCTATAAAATATCCCAATATCCCTCTCAGTATTTGGTCATTTTGGTATTCCCTTCTCAATGTTTGCACATGATTCATATATAACATCAAGTATCCATATGATTTCTGGATCTGCTGGATCAACAGACATTAACTGTTGTTTAATATCATCATCACTGATAGCATTAGTAGGAAATTCACCTTGAGATTTAAGTTTTGTATGAAGTTTTTCTTTTGCAGATATTTTTCGGTTTATCTTTGATTCTGCTAGTTTGTAGCATAATGGACACTCATTTTGTGCAACAGTCATTTGTATAATAGGCAGGCTGTTACACAGAGCCCGTTGCTTCTGAAAATATAGCTGTAGCCTCTCTAAGTCCAGATCATCAGCAAGATCAAAATTATCTCACACTTTTATAATCAAACTTTTGCAAGAACTTTCACCATAACATATATTATGTTGATCATTTTTTTGTGATCTGCAACAGTGTCCACTATGCTCTAGTTTGTTGATTATTCCTTTGGAGCCTATGACCTTGAAGTTACATGCAATATTTTGTAGTTCCTCTTCTGTGCACTATGATATGTATAATAAGATGATTATTTATCAAAAGTAAGTCCTGAACATTCCAAGTATTAATGATACTTACTTGATAAAACACTTTTGCAGATCGTGAAAGTATGTTAGAAGTGTGATGACCCAAATTCCTCTGCAATTCTTCTCTTGAACTATGTGACATCTTCAAATTTGCATCAGTGATTCTCCAAAATATAGGCCTATTCAAACCAAGAGATGTTTATTTAAAAATTATAAGGCAACATATTTTCAATATGTGAACTTACTCTTGATATGAATTTCTTTCTTTTGCAACTTGGTACAAATTGGTAATTTCCTTTATATAAGAACTAGAATAACTATCATTTTTTAGTAATTAGAATAACAGCAGTGGCTCTACACAACCATTACTTGAAAAAAAAACATACTTATTGATGATGACATCATCATTTTCTTTGTCTCCTTGAGAACTTGTATTTAAAAAAAAAGTTGAAAAGGTTTGAAAAATTAGTCAATGAAACACACATCAGTGTTAATCAGTGCTGGAGATTTTGTCCAGTTTGACATAATAATATTTTCAAATAATAAAGTGTCATTTTTATATTTCATTGGATCAATTGTAAATTTTAACTAACCACCATTCTTACAATAAACAACACCCATTTCTTGTTTCTCCCTGATGAATTAATTAATGAGGAAAAAAATAAATCGTAAAAATTTTTACAAAGTGATTCAATCTCAAACTGCTCACTAATTTGAAACATAAAAGACATTAAAAAATAGATGAAACTATTTTAAATAGTGATCACAATCATCATATTCATGAATATTCATTAAGGGGGTTACACTTATCAAAATCAAGTGATTGACACATAATTTTAAGGGATTTTTGGATTTTTGATAAGTGTAACCCCCTTAATGAATATTCATGAATATGATGATTGTGATCACTAATTTTAAATTGATTATATTTTATTAAAAAATTAATATCTTGTTGGGTTTCCTCTACTTTCTAAAACAGCATCAACCCTTCATGGCATACTACCTATTAATTTATTAATTTTTTTAATATTAACGATCTTCAAATTGGAAAAAATCAATCCATTTAGTATTTTTGTCCATAAATTGTATAATTAATTACAAAATGTCAAGGCGATACAAGGAAGTGAAACATTTTGATATGCAATGTTTGATTATCAGAAATTTGACAAGTGTTGAAGCATGCATGCTACCCTGAACACTTACAGTCATTCTCACATTCCTCTTGCACATAAGGCTAATCTGACCATGTTTCTCCTGATGATACAATGATGTTAGATTTTCAGGGGGGGACACAAGGCTCTGGAGTTTACCAAGACTGCATCAATTGTCAATGACACTTTCACTAATCTTCCCTCACAGCACCCAGGCCAGAGAAGACTGCTAGCATGCTAACTGAAAAGTCGCCTGCAATGATCCTACCTCTAAGGATGGATCCATATCCAAGCTGTTGCAACTCTGGAGGAATGTTAAGAGAATCTGCAGCTTGTTACAAGTACGGGAGGTTGCAATTCAGAGTGGGGCTGGTGACTCTGAAATTGCGTTTGGGCTCTAATGTTGAGAGGAAAGCTGTAAAATAAAATGGTTCAGGCATGCCACTGACAAGACAGCAACCCAGGCCTCAACACTTAGAATTCAGGGAAAATCCAAAACAGCAATTTCCCAGGTTGCAACCTCCCAAGTTGCAGATACCAACTTTATTCTAGCAAAGCATATCACACAGATGCCAACTCTTGTCAACAATCAATGCTCATATGGAAACAGCCAGCCTGGTCTGAGGGGAAGACAAGAGGTTTTGTCCAAAGCCTTCCAACCTGTTCAATTCTCTTTCACCTGTGGAAAAGGTTCCATTGTGCTGAAGGGTGCTTAATTGCACGACAATTATATGTTAGTTATAGGAAAATTTATTAAATCTGACACCTGTGATCAACATTAGACTTATTATTCTATTCATAAGGAACTATACAACAGGAAGGGAAATTTTTTTTTTTTGATCCTCTATTTATTTATTCTTGTGAACACCAGAGATCTGGGTAGACATGCATTATTAAAAATTTCATTTCTGCATGGTCTTGGTATTATTTATTACCTGGGTGATGCAATTGTTTGTTATGTCAATGATGACATCAAATGTATTGAAATAATCAATAAACATTCATGTTCAAGGAAAGGATTAAATAACAACAAAAAAGTTAAGTCATGTTTCTTTTTTATTTATATAATTAATTATATTTGAAAAATAATTATTTTATGCAGTGAGTCTCAGTATAGTGGACCTCAGTATTTGGGGGTTTAGCAGATAAATTTTCAAAACCAAATTTTTCTATAACAATTTTATCTCGGTTTAATGGATTTAATGGATTTTTCATATAAATTCAGTTTACTGGATATTTTTTAAAAATTCATATATGTCACTCATAATAAATTTTTCTCAATATCATGTAAATATTAATATTAAGAATGTAATAATCAATACATCCACAATTTAATCTAACATATTCCTAGCTATTTCTTGGCAATGACACTATCAATATGTCATTTCCTTTTATTTCTATATATGCTAAAATCATAAATATTGTAAAAGGACAAAGTGAAGTTGATGACGATGAAACAAATGAAACAAATGAACCTGAGCTGATGATCATTAATATGGAAGCTATAAAAGCTCCGGAAATTATACTTAAATATGTACAGCAAAAAATTTTAGATATTGATTTTCAAGTAATTAGAAATGTCAAAAGATTAAAAAGTGAAATTTCTTACAAAAATTCTCAAGAACAAGTGCAAACAAGAATGGAAGATTATTATAATGTCAACGTTTTAAGTGAATGAATTGTTTTTTTTTTAATTTTTTACCAACTGTATTTTTATTATCATCATTATTATTTGCATTCATATTATTAAAAATAAAATTAATTTTTTACGTAACATGTATCACATGATTTAATCAAAAATTCAATTTTTTACAGATATCTTGGTATTACAGATGACTCAGTATAGTGGATAAATTTCTTGGAACAAACATATCCATTATACCGAGACTCACTGTGTATTCCATTTTTGCAATGAACAGCAATAGCCTCAATAATTTTGTTTCTTTAGCATTAATGATTGAATCAATCATCCCCAATAAGTTTAATCTTTTAACAAATATTGTTAGCTTTTTCCACTTTTAAAGCAAAAAAGTACTAAAATAATTTATATACTTAATGTACCCTTATAAAAAGGATATAAGTATATTAAATAAATAAATAAAAAAAGGAACAAGCAAGCAAATCATGAAAAACATAATAAATGAACAACAACAAGCAAATAAATGAAATTGAAACATTTAAAAAGCAATTAGTTGATAAAGAGGAAGAACTAAAACTAAAAATTTGACATGTGACAGGTCAACCTAGTGAAGACAGTTATTCTCTTGGTCATCAATGATACAAAAGACTAAATGGATGAAGGCAAATTAAGAATGGCAGTAGATCCTAATGAAACTAGAGAATGAGCTAAAAATTGTAAAAGAGTTTGATTTGACAGTATCACTATTGAAGAGATGTTAGAAGAGTTTATTGATTATTTGAAAGGTTTAGCAACAAGTTGTTCCAGTCATATTGCAGAGTCAAGCAGGAGAGGTTGTCAACTTTATGATCAAAGAAAAGAATTCAAAAAGAGAATTGAAGGGTTAGAGAAGTATAAGGAGCAAGTTGAAAATTTGGAAACAAAACTTACAGAAAGTTTATCAGTTTGACATAAGGAACAGGAAGAAATTAATACTATTTCTTGAGAAGACCAATTTCATTACTGAGAATTGGAAGATTTAAAAGAATTATCAGGCAGAACAAAGAAGGAATTAAATAAGGTTGTCTTTGAAGTCATTGAGAAATTAGAACAAAGTGTTAAAGACTTGGCTGAAGCAATAAATACAGCTGAAGCATGAAAAAATTGACAAAAAAATCTTTTGAATGATGAAATCAAAGAAAAATCACTAATGCTCCAAAAGTCTGATAAAATGCTTGAAGAGGAAATAACAAAGAATGCAAAGTTGCAAGAAGAATTAGCCCAAAAATTA